TTTTTTTGGTACCAGGGATCGAACTCAGGACCTTGCGAGGCAGGCACCACTGAGCTAATCCTCAGCCCATTCTCTATATATTTTGATCACCCTTTGTATTCTTCATCCCCAAACCATTTGTGATTTTGGAAACATGTTCTTCCAAAACCATAGTCTGTTCCTGGGCCTCATGGCCGGGCAAGAGTAGCAATTTGCTTATTCCCTGACCCCAAGCACTTCAGATAGTCCAGGGGGAAGTTCTCAAGTTCACTGGCCTAACCTATCTACATTTGCATTCTAGTTGTGAGGAGCCACCTCCTTGGAATTAGGACTGCTTCTCTGAAACAGGCCCATTTGGAGACAAGAAAGGCATTTATCCATGTTTTACCTGAAATAGATTGCCTCCAAACCATAATGAGCCCAGTGTTCAGTAAAATATTAACTTTTCTCTGTAAAGCATGTTGCTCCCCTCTTACAGTGTGACTCTTGTTCAGCAGAATATGGTCTGTGGAATCAGTTTTTTGTGACATGATTATTTTCCTCCCTTTCCTTTGTGCACAGTATCTATTGTGAATGTCTGAAGGCACGTAAAGTATGAACCTAATGTCAATGTATAGATATGACAGGAAATATGAGACCATCTTTTAAATGATGTTTAAATTGTAGGTTTCACCAAAGACCACAGTGCCTACCCTCTTCCTTATAGTAGTTTATTTGAAATACAAAGTAGGAGGATTTCTAGAAACCAGATATGTCCACAAAGCTGGGATTTGGATTTACTAGTGGCTGCAGAACTAATTCAAGTGCTTCTTTAGATGAAGGGAAAGAAAGTAGGATGTAGACACATGAGTAGCAGAATGTTATTAGTGCTTTCTTTCTGGCCTCAGCTTAAAGCAACGCTATGCTTCTTAAAAACTATTAATAATAATTATAGTAATCATTATAACTTATGCAGTGATATTTCTATAGGCCTAGGCCCTATGCCAAGCATTATCCAGTTCATCTCACTCTATTCTCAAACTGCCACCAGGAAATAGGAACAGTCAACAGGATACTTTAAGAAGCTAGGTAACATGTCCCAGAGGGACAGGAAGAGTAAAGCTGAGATTTGAACTTGGGAAAGTAGATGCTGTAAAGGTACTAGAAACATTTGTCTTGAAAGGAACCAAATCCCTTTGAGAAAAGAACAGTCCTTTTTTATAGTCTGAAGTTTGCTGGAAGAGGGTTCTCTCACATGGACCTAATGGCTCTGTGATTTCATCAGTGTGACACACTTGGTTTGCATCACAGTGGTGTGGTAGGAAAACCCTGGGGTTTAGTCTAGTGCACCCTCCCACTAATCACATGAAATGAGACTTTACTGAAGTCACCTGACTCTTTCCAACCTCAGTTTCCATATCTGTAAAGTGAAATAAGTTTTAAAGTACCTGTCAAGTGTTTTACAGATTGCCTCCTAACGTAACTATAATTATCAATATTAATGTTTTTAAATACATTCTCAATTCTCAGGTTTTGCTATGAAGATTTTAAATTCTGATGGGTGCCTCAGGATTTACTGTGGCATGTGTTTCATGTATGGCTGAAGACCAAGCGTGAAGAAATGTGGCCTGCTGAACCACCTCCCCTGTTTAGGAAAACAGTAATGTTAAGCTTGTTTGTGTTTTTAATTTTAGGCAGTGCCCAGGTCATCGAAGGTGGCCAAGTAGAATTTACCCCTCTTTTGGGCATCCGGTATATGTGGTGGTACCATTTAATAGGCCTCATCTGGACTAGTGAATTCATCCTTGCATGCCAGCAAATGACTATTGTGGGGGCGGTGGTGACTTGGTATTTCAACAGGTAAGTGTGGCCTTTTCACCTGTTAGTCTGTGGGCTTCGGGTTGTGTATCTCAAAAGACGTTTAGGAGTTTTGAACTGATTCTTTAAAATGAGTTGATAAGGATAAAATACTAAACTAAAAGTAGGGCTTGCATACCCATTTGGTGATGGACAGAAATGTTATACCTCAAATCTGTCATATTTCCAGATTCTTTTGAGTTAAGCTGGAAAATTTCAGAAGAAGCCAAGTGGCAAAGTGATCGTACTGCTTAGAACTTAAAAATACCTAAAAGGAAGGGTTGAATTCACCTGTAAATATCTGTTCTTATTGACTTCAGACTTTAAAAATTACTCAGATGGGCGTGGTGGCACATGCCTGTAATTCCAGCACTCGGGAGACTGAGGCAGGAGGAGCCCTGACAGTAAGAGGTCCCCCTGGGCTACATAGTAAGTTCAGGGCCAGCCTGAACTGAGTGGTGAGACCCTGTCTCAAAAAAACAAAACAAAAATGACTGGTATCTTTTGAATACCCTTCAGTAAGTCTGTGAGTACTGCTTTTCTTTATGTAAAATCAGGAGAATGTTTGCTTGGAAAATAATTTTAAATCCTAAAGGAATTGTGTGTAACCATAAACTATGATTCATGTCCATAGTTAAGTAACAGCAAATCAATTGCTTGCTTCTGTTTATAACCCTGTACCTTATGAAAATAACCTGGGACATACACACCCATACCCCACCGCTCACCTGAATCCTTTGTATCTCTTGTGATTGACCTCCACAGGATGAGACAGCAGCCAGAAGAGCAGGCCCCAGGGACAATGACAGGGTTGGGCCTCAAACAGGAAGTTTACTCCCAATAGGGCTGATCCTTCTCTGATTCTCAGATTAAATGAGTAGATAAACATGAGTTTTCATGGGGTAAGAAAGTCAACCAGGGATGATTCATGCCACTGAGCAGTTCCCTCCTGGCAATAAAGAACATTGTGGGTTTTTAATAGTGGTGCTGTTCGGGAGCCCCATCATTAGGGACTCAGGAGGACCCACAAAGGGGCTGTTGCTCTTGCCCTTGAGAAGCTCCCAGAGGCAGGAGGTGGGGGCTGTGTGTCGCTTGCCCCCATGTAGGAGAGCAAAGATCATTCTAGCCAAATTGGCCAGCAGATAACATTTGTCTGACAGTGATTTTGTGTTATCTTAGAATAACAAAACCAAAACATTTTCAGTGAAGGCTCTGATGTGGAGTTTCCTGAAGCATATGCAGTTAGTTATCTTCTAATCCTTCCCCTCTCTTCAACCCTATCCCCCCCCCCCCAAAAAAAGTCATGAAGAAATGAAGAAAAGGAATAGACACACAAAGGCAATGAGAAGCACAGAAGGGAAAGTGAGGAAAGTGGATAAGAAACATCAACCAAATGGTGAGAGCTGAAGACAGGATAGCTGACTGGTGACTGGCCAGGCTGGAAAGAGCTGAAAGGGCCTGTCCCTGTGCATTGGCTGAGTGAGGAAGCCCTAATAAGATGCAGGCTGAATTGAGCCACAAAAATCCAGAGAGGCTCGGGAATCCAAGTGTAAAGTATAGTTCCCGAGATTGGCTGTAAGTCTTCCTGAGGAGCAGTTAGATCCCAGACCCCTGCTCTGTACGAACAGGAGATCTTTGCTCTCTAGAGACAGTAATCAGAGAGGATCTGGACTTCGGGTGTTTGACACAACTGAGACTGGGAACAATGCTCTTTACCCAAGGAGAGAGAGAAAGTGAAAATCTAAATGCTGTGTAGTGAGGGCCCCTCGTCGCCAACACCCCACAATCCACAGCTCAGCTTCTGCCACGCAGGGAGCCAGGTTGATCCCCATGAGGAAGTTAGAGGATTCTGCTCTGGAGAAACTAACTCCAGTAAAGACCTATGGATGGTGCCATGTGGGCCCCCAGTGGAATGGCTCCCCTGACTCCTAACCAAACAGTGAAGCACCCAGGCAGCAAAGCATACCCTTCACACAGAGCATCCAAGTCACTCTTAAATCTGAATTGTGAACCAGTGCTGCTTAACATTTGAAGAAAACCAAGATCAAAATAAACAAACAAAAGGAATTTAGGGAAAACAAACACAATACAGGCTATAAAAGAAAACTACCCCTCAAAAATAAAAAAACTGAATTATCAAAGAGAACAAAAACTATTACACCCATAAACTAAGACTCCCCCAAAAAACAGTGAATTATGAGAAAATGTAAAAGACCGTTTAATAATTAAAAACTGCAAAAGTGGAAATTTTCTATTGAATTACTAGAATATAAAGTTGAAGATTCTTGCAGAGGTAGGATAAAAAGAGAGAAGGAAAACAGAAGTGAAAAGATAAAATGTCAGAGTTATTTAGGAGACCCACTTCTGACGAATATGAGTTCCAGAATAGAGAAAAAAAAGTTTTTTAAAGACATTATCAAAGGAAAATTCTCAGGGCCAAGGACAAGAGGAAAGAGATGATCCCAGAAGCCCTCTCAAGGGAAAAAGAAAGGATCAAAGTTCACAGACAGAAGACCAAGAACCAGAATGGGATGTGACTTTCCACAGCAGCTCTGAGCCAAGAGAACTGTGGAGTGGGCTATGAAAATGCGAGCGAGGTGATTCCCAGCCTGGATATCTGTACCTGTTCGCACTGCCAGTCAGAGATAAAGTCAAACAGCGGCAGACTCAGGCACACAAGTTCCCAAAAGGGTTCCTCCCCACATCCTTTCTAGGAAGAACATTTCCCACTGAAGTACATCAGTAAGCCAAAGAGGAAAGCATGAGTTTCACAAAATGCGCCAGAGCACAGAGCAGAAGAAAAAGGTGTTCTCAGGAAGGTAAGCTATGCAGCAGATGTAAGAAAACATCCAGTCCAAGATGGAGCAGGAGGGGCAGCAGACTCCAGGAAAGCTGTCTCCAAGAAGAGACAGAGAACATCGGATATGCTTGAACCTGTTGAGAAAAGATTTATGCTTTGGTGAAGCATTTAGTAAAGCCCATGGAAAAGGAAATTGATTTTTAAAATGCAACACAGTCACTAACTCTAGGAGAAACCAAAATTGCACAGGAAAAGAAATATAATTGAAATATGCTACTTGATTCAGTTTTGACTGTTGTTCACTTTATGTGTTATTTATGTGCTAATAATGTAAACACTAAATGTGAAGTTAAAAATTCAGTATAATTATATTGGGAAGGAGGGGAGATGGAGAAAACGAGTATGTGGAGGTAGAGTGATTTAGACTGAGAAAGAAAATGAAACCTGAGTCTTCCATAATGCAAAATTGGTAGACAATATCTAAAGCTGAAAATTCAACGGAGATAAGAAGTGGAGCTTGGTGGCACAGCAGTTTCCTAGCAGCAGGAGGCCTGGGTTCAATCCCAGCACTGCAGAAAAAGAAAAAGGGAAATCAAGAAATAGTGGTACAAATATGTAATTTTTAAGTGTAGAGGTGAGATCCACAAGAAACAGCCAAACTTTTGTCTCTAGGGAGAAAGATTTAGGAATGGGTGAAGAAAATAGCTGTTTTTTTCTGATAAAAACCACCAGTGGTATTTAGCTTTTTAAGATACTTTACCTATTATTTTGATTTAAAATAATCTAAAATGAAATGTGTGATGATTTATTTTTAGCACTACTGTTTCTTCATTAAGGTATTGTTCTTTCTTCTGGAGCATCTGCCTGATTTTGAAACCTTTCCCTTATCTTAGAGTTCACAGTTCTTCAGTCCTGTGTTCTGGCCTGTGCACAGAGTGAGGATTAAACATAGCCAGGGTGCATTTGTCTTTGTCATTCATTTAAGCCCTAGGAGGGCGGAGGGGTTCCTACAAAGAGCAGGCACCAGGATATAGGCAACCTATAAAATGTACCATTTACAAACATTTGCTTGAAGAGGGGTCAACAGAGAGCCATAAAGATGGTGTTCAGGGATGTGATAGGAAGGAGCTAGAACCGACTGTTCACTTGGGGGAAGGGATGCTGGAGGCATGGTTTCATCATCATTTCCAAACAGACAAAAAATGGTTTCCAGCTGTTCTGGATCTGCTGGTGAAGCAGTGAGGAAATGGATTCACAACAGAGCCTACGGAATTTAAGTAGAGATGGATGAATTTTCTATCCCTAACTAGTTAACCAGAACAGCTAAAAAAAAATCCTGTTCTTATAATAGATAATCTCTATTTTCTGTAGGTCTGGAAAAATGAACTTTACAGCCTCCTTGCAGCCCTCCTAATCCCATCTTGCAGTGATTTTGCTGAAAGATATATCCGGGAGGAACATGTTCTTTTCCGGGGCCTCCTGGGTCCCTTTCATGCTGTACCAGCTTTGCACTGGAGGCTGGCTATCCTGTGCAGCCAGGCTTTGTCCCCAAGCCTCAGCACAAAAGTAATTTTCCATAATATTTGAGTTTTTAGCGAGCTACACTGGATCTCACTAGAGCTACAGCTTGCTGCTAGGAGCTTGAACAGTAGCTCACTTGGCTTTATGCTGTGTTGTCTGGTGGAACTAGAAGTTCCAAAACAGTACTGAGGTACCATGACCCAAAAGCGTTACAGAACTTGGGTGAGTGGGACCATTATACCCTTTGCCCAGCAGCTTGGATTGCTGTGGTGTTCTGAGGACCTGGCTCCATTATACAGGGCCAGACACCATTAGCACTCAGGCAGCCGTGGGTTTAAAAGAAGAGGAAACCAAGCTTCATGGGTCACATCCTGGAGTCATCTTCCCCTCCTATGCTGCCCTCTTTGCCATGCACAAAATTGGGATGCACTTGACCCAGTCAGCAGGTGCTCAACACATAGCTCTCCCTGGATATAGCTGAGTAAGCCTGATGGGAGACTTTGTCCTTCTTCTTCCTACTATAAACTCATCACTGAGTTTCCCAGTCAGCCCAACACCGCAATGCCAGTTCTCAAAATACAGTCAAGCCCAGAGCTAAGTTTTCTTAGTTGTGTGTGTGTGTGTGTGTGTGTGTGTTTCTGTGTATGTGTGATACTGGGGATTAAACACAGGGACTTTACAGTGAACTACATCCCCAGCTCTTTTTGAATCTTTTTTTTTTCCAATTTTGAGATAGGATCTTGCTAAGTCATTAAGTTGCCAGACTGGTCTCAAACTTGCAGTCTTCCCGCGTTAGACTTCCAGAGTGCTGGGATTACAGATGTGTGGCCGACGTGCCTGGCTCTACGTATTAAGCCTCACTGGAGGTGATCCTCTTCCTAAAGACTGGTTTTCCTGGTTGTGAAAGAGACGGAGCTGACAGCATTAGCTGCATATACCCCAGGGGAAGGATGACATGATGTTGTTACTTTTTGAACTTAGAAAAAGGTCTAAAATGAGAAGCCAGTGGCCTCAAAGACTTAGCCTTTTTTCTGCAGAGCTGTTTTTAGTTTTGAGGGCAGGTATTGTGTGACTCTTGGCTCTGTGAGCTGGCTTGGGTTGAAAGGGCCTTCTCAGGTTCTCTCTCTCTCTCTCATCATGTAATAACGCAGCTGCTAGAACTGCTATGTCTTCTTCTAGCCAAGTCTTGTGAAACCTAGAGTTATAAGCAGTAGGTGTATGGACTAGGAAAGCCAAGGCAGTGAAGGAACTCCTCTGCCTACACTGCTTCCTCTCATAGCAGTGAAACCTTTTCAGAGAGCTGCACCTAATCCCACATTTCAGGACCTGGTAGATCAGACTCCAAGGCTCCCATTCATGGTGAATGTTTCCCTACCAGATGGAAAACAGGTGTTGTCTTCTTTTCCCTGCATCTGCATTTCTTAAGCACCATGATAAGTTCTAAAGCATATAAATTTCAATGGAAAAGTAAACATTCTCCCTTTTAAAAAATGGATAAAGGGAAAAAATGTGTCAGATTTTCCTGGCCAACACAACTCTTCTAGTTTATCAGATCAAAGTGAATTCCCATCAGCAGCGGCGTTCTGGCCTTTCCTATTTTCGGTAGCATCAGGTAGAAGCACACAGCACCTTTTTGTGGACAGCTAGGTTGCAGTCCTCCTGTTCCCTGTGATACTGTCAGGTTCCCTTTTGCTTCGTGATGATTTAAGCAGCAGTGAAATGCAACAACTGCCAGCTCTTGAATGTTCTGCTGCAATTCTTTCCCTCCCTCAAAACCAAGGCTGTTGTCAAAACCTTAATTCATAGTGACTTATTAGCAACCTGGGCAAGTTGCAGAATAATCTATTCTGAAGAAAGCGAGCTTCACTTGGAATCCGTGAAGTTGCTTCTCGGAAAGGGCCTCCTTTTCTATAACTGGCATCTGCAAGAATCCAAAAGGGCACCCAAGAGGTTGTGTTGCCCTCCTCCTCCACTGTTTCGTCTTTCAGGTTTGGGGTTGGAGAAGGTTGAGCCAATTCTGTTTCTTTTTTCCTTTTTTCTCTGCCTGTGAAACTGACTTGAACAAAAAAAAAAAAGAAAGGAAAAAAAAAAGAAACTGACTTGAACACATTCTTGGGAGCTGTGTCATGACAAGTCCTGTAAATGATTCACACTGAAGTGACCTTTAAAGAGCAAAGAAATCAGCTGGATTTCAGGAGCCCTGAGCTGCGCAGAAGCCAAACACCCCAGGCTCTGTGTTCCTTCCCTTTGAACTTGAAATCCCTGTTACCTCACTGGCCCTGATCCTGGTCATGTGATTTGATGATGATTTTAATCACCAAGCTAATGCCAGCGATATTTACATATGCTCCTGTGTAATTTAAACCTGGGAAATTGTGATAGAATTAAACTTCTGCAAAGGAAAATGAGATTAACACACAATTTGAAAGGCTGGTGGAAGGAATAGGTCCTATAAGAGGGAAACTTGTTCATTTTAATGTACTAATATTCTTTATTGCAAGCCACCAAAAGGAATTAAATTATTCCAAGATATAATGTAATCTTAGCTACAAGGTGCATAAAAATTGTGCCAAATGCTCATTGCATCCCTGCTTTATAAGTCATTAGTGCCATTGAAAAATTGGACCAGAGAAATTTTTTTGTTGCTTTTTAAGTACTGGTTTTAATATATTCTTTTTTCCTATTTCCAGAAATAAAAATGACCCTTCTGACCATCCAATCCTTTCATCTCTCTCCATTCTTCTCTGTTACCATCAAGGAACAGTGGTGAAAGGGTCATTTCTGATCACTTTGGTGAGGATTCCAAGAGTCATTCTCATATACATTCATGACACTCTGAAGGACAAGGTAAGGCACCAATCTAGAACAGGAAAGGTCAATCCTGGAAAACTACAGTGGGTCCCAGGCCAGGAATGTGTCTTGTGTTCCTTCATCAGTGGGCCACCACCACCCCTGGCATACCTTATTTCTCCAGACTCTCATGGGTGTAGGGTCTTTTGTGCTGGGTTTTCTCCACCCCAGTGGTGGAGATGGGGTAGGAGGGAGTAGTTCTGAGATGGCTGGTTTTCCTTCTTATTTAAATGCTGAACAAATGGGTTGAATTCGGAGGGTGAAGTTCGCACAAGATTTTGTAGATATTCATCATGCTGCTTTTTTTAAAACTAAGAAAACGCATTGTAAGATAGAAATAATACTTGTTTCTGCTTCAATGCAAACATATTCCCTGCCGATTGTGCCTCCTGGAGGGTGCCATGGGAAGTCACTGGTGTGTGTGAGGAGGAAGTGAGGCAGAAAGGGAGAGTTGGAATGAGTGTGTGTGTGCGTGCGTGTGTGCATGTGTGTGCACAGCTTGAAGAGTGAGAAAGGGGCAAGCTGGCCTACATCTCAGCTCAAAGGACAGAAAACTGTGGGGCTTTTGTGCTGGGGGTTTTCTCCTCCCTGGTTTTTATTTCCATGCACATTTGGTTATGAATGCCAGTGGAAACCAGAACACCAGGAAAACAGCTGTTCTCGTGGTATTTCTGGCCTGCCAAACAAGGCAAGCTTGGACCTTTCCCAACATTTCTGTTCTCACACAATGCTAATCTCTCCTCATCCCCTCAGGGTTCATGACTTGATCAGAGTTTCACACACCTACCTGAGTCCAACCTTTTCAGTATAGTTCCATGTCCTTAGTGAATTGAGGACATTTTGCACACAGGTTCATATTATAGTTCAAATTTATTTTTGTTTGCTCTTTGAAACAGAAATCTGAGTTGTTGATATTCTTAAATCCATAATCAAGATTTAAGTTTAGTATATCCATTAGGAGCAATGGATTGAATTTCACATAAAATTATCTGGCTTCCTTATCTTGAACTGCATGCTAAGTAGTTAGCCCTAATTGTAGACAGTCTTCTCGTATTTCTGTTAAAGTCTTACCTGGCCACATTTTGGTGACTTAAAGAGGCATTCCCACATTCAGGACAAATCTAACTATTTCTAGCTCTTGCATTTTGAAGTTGACCTTTCAATCTTAAGAAACTGGAGGATTTCTTTAAAAATATAACAGCTTTTTGTATATTTGAGTATATTTTATACATGTATATGAATGTGTATTTATATACCCTATTAATGTATAAATATATTTTATATAGATATATTTATACATGTATATGCATTAGTAATAGATAATCATAAATAAATGAACAGCTGGGAGCTTGCTATTCCTCCTCCAGTGAGGCATCTTAAACTCTTCTGGGAAACAGCTTTCCATAAACCTAAAAGAAAAGTCAGTGGAAGATCCAAGGCATCCCTGACTGAGGTTTAAAAGATAACTTGTCACTTCCTTGATCCCATAAGGAACACAGGGCCAAACTTCATTTTAGTAATGTCACTGTTGGAGAATTATGTCCTTTTTTAAGTTAAAAAAAAAACTTTCTCAGCAGCCCTACATCTCATACTGTGTTCACCGTGAAAATGTTTTGCACAGCCACTGTGTGATCTTTCCTACATTAAATAGGCTCATTCACAGCTGCTGCCAGGCTGAAAAGTATCCAGATCGAGTTTCACCCAATTGAATTAACACTGGGACAAGAAAAATTCCATATAAGGCTGAGTTATTCCTGGGGTCCTTATAGTAGGCTATTTCAGAATTGCCAGCAGAATTTTTTTTCCCCCTCTGGACAAGGTCAATCACCCTTCCCTGGGACATTTCATTCAATTATTCATTCTTGAGTTATGCACATTTTCAAGTTATAGTTCAAAAGACTGATTTATCCCTTGAAATTTAGCTCTGAAAGTCTCACAGTAGGATTCATTTCCCCTAAAATTAAGCTTGATTATGTGTGTGGGCACCTAAGTAGTATCTACAATGCTTTATTTGTTTTTGTTTTTTGTTGTTGTTGTTGTTGCTTGTCTTTGGGACGTGAATATTTTATGAACACAAATTTTGGGTTCCAAAAGGTAAACTGTACAATTTAAGACACTTTAAGGACAGATGAAGAAGGAAGAGAGATACTTTTTATTAGAACCTGAAGGCCTACTCGTCCTTTGCTATTGAAAAGGAATTAACCCATTTCCCGTTCTGCTGAGGGTAACAGCAACCATCCCAGGTAGACCCTCAAGAGAAATTAAGCTCATCAGGATGACAGTAATTAGTAGTAAGCACAAAGCAGAACTTCTCCCGCACTGAATGAGAGCTGCCCTGGTTTTTTCCAGGTGTGTAAATTTGTGCTGGAAACAAAGCAGTTCTGCTCAGACGCTGTCTGCTTACCTCCTCTCTGTTGTTTTTCACTCTGTTCCTATGGCTGGACCTGATCCCCGCAGCACAGTTCATGGTCCAGGGGAATGTTCAGATGCTGCTGCTGTTTCTCATGTCTTGCCAGACACTTGCACCATCTCAACCAGGTATGTGAACCACCCTGCACCCCAGGAGCACACAGAGGGCTAGGAGGGTAGTTTCCAGCTCCTAGGTCAGGGATTGGCAAATTCTTCTGTAAAAGACCAGATTGTGTAAATATTTTAAGCTTTGGGGCCATGCGGTCTCTGCAGAAACCACTCAACTCTGACTTTGCAGCAGGAAAGCAGCCGTGGACAAAAGGAGAAATAGGCATGGCTGTGTTCCAATAGAACCTCATTGATGGATGCCGAAATCTGAATTTAATATGATTTTCATGGATCAAGAAATATTCTTCTTTTGCTTTTTTCCCTACCATTTTAAAATTGTAAGAATCCTTCTCAAATCCAAGCAGAGAAAAGTGGGTGGTCTGAGAGATGGGGCCCCAGGCTGTAGTTTGCAGATCTCTATGTTGGAAATGAGGCTATTAAAGCTATTTCTCAAATCCTGAAAGAAATGTGTTTCTCTTCTCTGAAATAAAAAAGGGATGGAATCTTTAGAAACCCTAGTATAATGAATATATATCTGCTAAGAGCTAATTTTCACTGTCTTCTCTAAGAACTATAATTTTCCTGAACTAGAAAGAATCACCTCCCTAATTTATATATATTTTACCAGCCTTTACTTTTCAAGCTATAAATAGTTCTTTAAAAATCATAAAAATGATATCCTGCGATTGTTTAAACTAGATTTTGTCTCTCCTAAATCTTTCAAATTGTTGTAAATTTAAATATATGTTTTATTTTTGTGTAGATCACTTAGGAAACTTTAATATCCCTCAGTCAAATTTACATAAAGCAAGATTTTTGTAAGTCAGCAGGATGTTTTATAATTTAAATGTTCACAGAAATCTCACTTAGAAAAATACTTCTTACTATGGCCTATCTTCCTAATAAATGTGCCATTAGAAGTAAAGGGACTAATTATACCATCCATGCTTAGTGTCTTATAAGTGGCATTTACAGTGCCTTTCATTATTCAGGGAAAGTGTAGCCTTCTTATAGTAATGCTCTATTTCTAAGGCTGTTCTTAAAAATCTTGAATACATTTAACAGCACATTTCCTTTTCCTTTGGATTTCCACAAACCAGCACATATAAAACAAAGTAAAATACCATAGCACCTTTCACATACCAAGTCAATCTAAACCCTGGGAATATACTCAGGGTCACGCACCATGCCTCTCAGAGCAGTGTGCATGATTCTGGGCACCAACTTACCCCATAAAGATTATTGAGATGCACTTAAAAAATATATTAACTGTGATAAGATATATTTGCATGAAAAGTCAAGGTTAAGAAATGTAGACTAAAAAGTCAAAAGTCATGGGACCATTGATACAAATACGTTGGCCACATGGTGCTCCAAGACTCCTAGTTGGAGTTGCTATCTCTTTATTACTGTTCTGTGAAATTCAGGTTCTCTCTGCATCCCTCTTTCACTGGTAGTTACTGCCTTTGGGGAGCCCAGTGGGTCCTTCTGGTTACTGCAGACACCACCAGGTCCGGAGGAAAGAGAAATGGGTGAGGAGGAAGAAGGGTGAGCTCTGGCTCATCACTGCGCCCTGCCTTTTACCCAGAGCATCCTTGTTCTCATCTAGTTTAGGCTGGGAATCTACTGAAGATTTCATGTGAAGACAGGGATCTGCTGCTAAGCACATTTGAAATCCACCATCTCATACCATTTTCACATTTGTTTTCTCTACCTTGTGTATCCTGAGGGACATATTTTCTGCCTTCTGAAATTTCACCTTTTTATATTAACTCAGGATCTTTTTCCTTAAGAGTTCAAAGGATTTCTATGATCATAAGTAATATTAACATTAACCACACTATTATTACCATTATAAAAGTGATAGATCCTTATAACAGGTAGAGAATTGGAGTAATTGTCCTTGAAGCACAAAAGCCAAAAGCATAAAAGCTAAGCCCGTCTTGATCCAATTCCTGTACTGAGTTGGTGCAGACTGGGATGGGGCTTCAGGATTCTAATCCCGGTGCCCTGCACTAGGCTGTAGCTTATACTGGCTGTCTTGGTGTCTGTCACTGGGTGATGCCTATACAGCTAGGCAAAGCCAGCTCATGAGACCACTGATATGACAGCTGAGGTTTAGGAGACTGAGAAAGAAGAGGAAAGAAAGTGAAAAGGAAGGGAAGGGAAGGGAAGGGAAGGGGAGAAAGGGAGGGAGGGCAAGCTAGTATGAATAAAGTTGGGGCAGGAAAGGTCACCTGTAATCTAAATTGACTACTGAGAAGCAGGGTGAAGTAAATCTTTAAGAAGAAAGATGGCGATTATAAAATGGTAATCAGCACTGTTGTTGATCTCATCTGGCAGTAGACAAAGGACAGTAAGTTTAAATGAGAAAAGGAATTTAGGTTTACCTTTTGAGAAATGGCCTAGGAATGAGTTATTAGGGGAGTTCTGGCATCTGTGTGTCTGGATACTAGCCTACTTTATTTTCCTTGTTTTGTGGAATGGGAACATGGACGTGCCACAAGAGAACGAGGTGGATTTGTCACCTTCAGAACCCAGGTATCATTCCCTCTTCAACATCAAGGAGCTGACTGTGTCTCACCAATTGCTTTTTTTTAAATTCATTAAGTTTATTGGTACGTTTTTGGTATTCAATATGATGACATTCATCATTGGGAATTTGTACCTTTACATGATGTATCTTGGTTCCCCATTGCTTTTTATAAGCTGTGTCTGTCTTCACAAAGTCCCAGGAGGGAGACAGGTGGCAATTGCTGCATTTTGTAGGCACCTAGCTGAATCCTGCACAGTGATTCACTCACAGAATAGGAGATAAAAATCCCAAATGTCATCATTTCTCATTTTCTTCTCTCTACATCAGGATTACTTTTTTTCATGTTGTGCCCTTATCCATGGCAATGCATTTCCCAGCATTTAAATTGGTGCCACATGCTGTCCACATCTCAAGCTGCCAGAGTCTTGTGGAATGGCCTGAGAATGTGAATGCACACCATCTCTCTTCATGTACAGCAGTTCTGTCAGTAGTGGTTCGAGGAGTGAAAAATAACTGGCAGTGAGATTTGGGGAAATACCAGTTACCTCAGGAGGGCACTGTGATGTCCAGTGGCTTTCATGTCTGTTTCTCCATGGGCTCCTACACAGGAGGACTATTACCTGGTAAATGGGTGCTGCACTTCATTGACTCAGACATGACGTGGTGCACTTTCCTTTGGCATCATCTAGATATGGCTACTAAACCAATGCATAGATTATCACCTCTTGGCACTTGCTCAGAAATGCCAGCAGCTTCCTGTCTTCCTAACAGATGTACTGGTCAGAAAGACCCCAGATAGTCTTATTGAGTTCAGTGCAGAGAAGAGCCCCCTGCTCCATGGGAAACCCACACATCTCCCCCGCACTGCCTCGCAGTCCCCCACCACCCTACCTACTGCCAACACTTTTTTCAGTGAACATAATGTTGGTCTGTCTTCTAAGCCTTTGTGGTCAACTTGACTTTGTACACCCTCAAAAGCCCCTTCTGGCCTGGCCTTGCAGTTAACTCGGCCTCAATGCCTCTCTTTCTCACAGTCCATCAATAGCAGCAGCACTCTGGCTTCTTCATGTCAGGTTTCAGTTCATCCCAAGCCAATGGCAGATCGCCAGTGACTCTTCTCTCTTCTCACCAGTGCAGAATGTGCAACACAAGAGAAAGGAAGTAATAGTGTAAAATTTTTCTAACTAGATTAAGAAAAGACCCTTAAGATCATGAGGGAAGGGGGCTGGGGATTTAGCTCAGTGGTTTCGCCGCCTGCTGCGCAAGCGCAAGGACCCGAGTTTGATCCCTGGTACCAAAAAAAAAAAAAAAAAAGATCATGAGGAAAGGCTCCTTAGAGGAAAAAGGTTTTTCAGTCCCTGATGTTGCCATAATAGGTAACCCCTTCACAGAATACCCACCAACCACTCTTCCCATGGCAGAAGTGATTTTGAATCCTGCTTCCCTGCCAGCTGGTTTAGAGCTATTCTGGGCAGCCAGCTGATGGGGAAAGCTCTCAAGAGATGCCTTGTGTGCGTGTTTTAGCAGGCAACTCACAGGTGTGTCAATATGATAGTTTGCATTAAGGCTCATATATAGACTTCGGTAATCCCTGCGCCCAGCTGTTTCATGGCAAATGCTACAATCCTGGTTTTAGATAGAAAGCCAGGCCCCAGACTGTCTGAGAGAAAGCAAACTGAATCCTCATGTTCCCTGGTGCATAACTCAGAAGCTACTGGCATATGACATGGCTTTGTGTGGCTTTCTTGGGAGCAGCATTGCAAAAGCCTAGCCCCCACCTGCTGCAGGCCTGTTGCAAAGGTTGGGGCTCCGCAAAGCAAGGCCCTAACTCTCTCTTGGCCCTCTGGGCTTTAGCACCTTCCAAGACCTTTGGGGTAAGGCTCTGTGAGCAGCTGTCATCTTAGACTGGACCCTGAATTCGTTCCTGACTCAAAATTCTTCTACCTTCTGGGAGAAGCAATTAATACTTGTTAATGAATGATGACATCACTAAAGGAAAGGGAGGGAAAGTTGTACAAGGGCATTGGGACATCAGGCAACTCTGCTGGGAGGTAACTGAGTGTACACCATGAATTGCTTTGACTTATCCAGTGGCCAGAGTTCTTTCTGATTTCCTCCTTCTTTATCCTGTATCTTCTCTTCACCTGCCTTCTGAGCCTCACTGTGATGCTGAGGACAGACAGGTGTGCTGCATTGCATGGTGCTTCTTGGGCAGAACTCTGTGCTTGGTCAACATGAAAGACAGGACCAGGCTTATAGCGGCAAGAGGATGAGGAGCGTTTTTGTCCCGGGGGGAATGTCAAGGTCTTACTGGAACCAGACTCTCAGCTTCCTGCTCCAAGACTCCCCTATTCTCTTTATACTTCAGCCTTTCTCTTCTTGCAGAAGTCATTCACTCATATCTGTGAGCATTCCCTTCCCTGCTTTGGATCTGGCTCCATATATCCACTTTCCCAGCAGTGTGATAGGCAGTGAATGATGCAGACTTTGAGGCAGATGGATCTGGATTTGAATCATAGTTAACCCATATATTGAGGGACAGGGACAGCTTCCTTCACCTCTTTTAGCCTCTCTTTCCCCACATATAAAGCAAAATTCTTAATACCTACCTCATAGGCAGTTGAGAGGATTAAATAAGGTAACACACATTAACTACTAAAGCATGGCGTGGAACTCTTAGTTATGCTCCGTAAATGTTAGTTTCTTTTTTGGAAGAGGTGGAGAAGAGAGAATTTAGTTACTTTATCCTATTCATTTGTCAAACAATGAAAGTGCCAAACCAACTGGTTATAAAAGTCCCGGTTTCCCAGGATTGTAATAAATAATTAAAGATAGAATGTTTGCAAAGCTCTGTTTTGTGCCTGGCAGATAGAGGCACTTGCTGGATACGTGGACATCATTATCATTATATTGAACCCACCTCTCAGTACAGGAGCTCCCGCTGGTGTCCTGTGACACTGGAATAGTTCGAAGTTCCGAGGCTATTCCCTCAGGTTGCTCTGTTAGGGCTATATCAGCATCCCCCGGGGAACTTCTCTTCTAAACATGCCTTTCTCTTCTCCATGACACCCTCAGCCAGAACCACTACACTAAACACTGTTGGGGGAGTGGAATTGCTTAAAGCTCCTCTTCTGGTTCTTTTTTTTGGTACCGGGGATCAAACTCAGGACCTTGCACTTGCCAGGCAGGCACTGTGCCACTGAGCTAAATCCCCGGCCACCCCCTTCTGGTTCTTGCAATTGAGAAAAATGACTAAGTTTTTCCCAACACAAAGGATGGTGAGAGGAAATCCAGCTTTCAAATTTGACCCAGGAGACAGAACATGAATGTGGCTGAAAATTCAGCAAACAGGCCAGTATAGCATATCAGCTCTCAAGTGGGGGCCTCTGACCCTGTCCTCTGTATCTAACCCTCATTTTCTCTTCATTCCCATTTTTCAGCAGTCAAGAGCTGCTGGGCATGGTGGCACATGCCTATAATCCCAGCACTCAGGAGGCTGAGGCAAGAGGATCAGTGTTAGTTTGAGGCCAGCCTGGGCTGCATAGTGAGTCCAAGACCAGCCTGAACTACATAATGAGACCTTGTCTCAAAAAACCAGAAAAAAATAATAGTAGTATCACCGCCTAGCAAAGGCAGCTGGGACTGTGTCCAAGGACACTGGTCTAAAAGATCATCTGATCTGAGGAGCCTCCGTTTCTAACTGGGAGACCCCTTTGCCAGCATGAGCTCCATGGAAAGCACCACGCAGCCTTGGTCCCTTGCGCAGTCCTGTCATGCCCTGGCCGAGGAACACTGGTAGTCTTCGGAGGGAGACCGCCTATGTTTTTCACTTTGATCTATGAAAACCACCTTTGGAGTCAGAAAAACTCAGTTTCCTCTCAAATAAGGAAGCAGGTGACATGTGTAAACACTGTGCTGTGATGAACAACGTTTGGAGATCTGGCAGCCATAGACTAAACTTCCATGTTCTTCCCTTCTTCAGGTTAGCGTCTGTGGTGGGCGCCATGCTTGCCTGTTAACTGAGGCCAGGCCGGGCCATTTCTGTGATCCCAGTGGGGCGGGGGGGATGTTCAAAATGGAAGAGGGAACTTCCACGGTCCACTTTATCCATGAGACCCCAAGTGCTTAAGATTATAGATGCAAAGATTATAGATTGGTGTCAACCTTTCCCAAATTCGTTTAGAATGGGAAATGAAGTTAACTAGCTCCTACCCCTAATCTAATTCTCCTCATGATGGAGAGCAGACTTATTCATGTCACTTCTTTGTTTGGTCCTTTTCTTATTTTGAAACAGTTATTGTCAGAGGCTCCCACTGCCCACCTTGGAAGCCCACCCCACTCCCTACCTTCTTCACCTTCTCAGCAAGGCATTGAGGGTGGATGTGTTCTTCAGCTGCCATTTTCTAGGTGTCTTTATCCTAGATATTGAGATTTGAGAAAGGAAGTAATAGATTGTTGGCCAGAGACTAGAGAATGCATTTATAAGAAGGAAGGAAAGGAAGGGAGAAAGAGGAGGGAGGGAGGGATAGAAACAGAGAGGAACGGAAAGAGAGAGGGAGAGAGGAAGAGGCGGGAGTCATGGTGGTTAGAGAACAAGAGCCAGTCTAATTTAGTAGCCATTAGTTCATGTTCTGCTACAGGAAGAATCTGATGATGCACTAGGCTACCACCACCTGAGTCTTATTCTTGCGTGACTTCTATATGACTGACTCTCAGCTGGAGACTCAGAGGTGCAGCCCTGTATCATGTCTCTCAACCTCATTTTTGACTTTGAGATTCAATCCCACTAGACTGGCAGAAAAGTTGATCTGCTATTTTTCCATGGGGTTATATAAGGTATTCCCAGGCATTAGTAAACATACATTGGAGATACATTGCCATTGAGACATCCTTTTTTTGTTTGTTAGTACTGGGGATCAAACCCAGGTTCTCACTAAGTTACCTAGGCTGGCCTCAAACTTGTGATCTGCCTGCCTCAGTCTCCCAAGTAGCTAGGATTACAGACATGTGCCACTGTGCTTGGCTCATCTCATCTTTATAGCTCTTTGTACACTGCTTGGGGAGTGAGAATCTTTTACAAGGCCACCTACCTGGATATGTTTGCGGTAGGTAACCAAGTATCCTGGTTACCCAAAATCCCCACATCCCTGGAACCCCTTCACTCCTGGGCAAATCAGGACCCTAGAAGTAGTCATGGGAGAGTCTTGCCAGTTCTGCCTGTGTGAAAGCAAAGCAGCCCAAACCCCTGGTCAGAAATTACAGACCTCTGTTCCTCCTCCTCAGCCAAGCAGAGTCTCATTTTCTAATTTGAGGATGGAAGAAGACCTGCCAACCCCCCATTGCTCCAAAACATTTGACTCATAATGAGAATCCCTTACCTTCACCTTTTGCGCTGTAGGCAGGGGCTCAAAGACCTTAAAAGTGTGGGAAACCAAAACAGGTAAGAGTTGAAAACTGAGTGTCTTCTTGCCCCCACTGCCCAACTGGCCCTCTGCCTCTCCTTGGGGGACAAGGGCGGAGGCTGAGGCCTGCTTGACTGGGGAATTGAGAGAGGAAAATAAGGAGAATGTTTGTGAGCAGAGAGAAGCAGAAGTCAGGAGGGCAAAGTAAGCCATGGTACATGTATTAGCGATAGCTGGACAGTCCTTCTGTTCAGAGCCTCATCTCTACACCCATTGAGCAACAAAGTCCCTGAAAAGTAGGAGAAGAAACTGTGTAGATAAGTTTTTCTTAAACAGGTGGGGCTAGAAATTTCCAAAAAGTTTGGACAGTTGGATGCAGGCTTTGACAATTCTTGAGGTGGTTTCATCTTCCCCCTTCTTTGTCTTTTATAGACTGCCTCACTTGGCAAAGGTCTGGGGTAGGGAGAGCATTTTCTAGCCTTGCATTCATCTAAGGAATGAGACAGCTGAGGCTGAATGACTTCATCAGGGTGCATCTTTCGTGGATGGAGAAGGCCTCTCTGGGTGTGCCCCCTGTGCCTATATCTTGCCTCCATCTAAGCAACAACAAAGAAACTTGGTGAAGTCCAAAGAACAAGAAGGCACTGATCTCATGTGGAACCCTGTCCCCGGTTACCAGCCTGGAGCTTGGCCAAAGCAGACCTTCCATACATGCCTGTGGATTGAGGATGAGTACAAGGGTATATATTGCCTCAACACATCCCTGGCTTGATGCTATACACAGCTTTTAGCATCTGCTAAGAGTAGCAGGAAAGCAATAAAGAAAAAGGAAATACTAAGTCAAAAGAGCGGCCTTTTCTTGTTGAGGCTGCTCTAATCACACCTAGAACTGACTGCCAGGAAAACTGGCTTTCTGAGGGAAAAGTGCCAGCAGAGAGAGGGCCAATGAGAGGGCCGAGTATCAGCCTCCTGGGGCTCAGAAAGAACACATCTGTCACACTGCAGAGCTGCAGTAATCAAGACAAGATGGTACTGGCATAAGCATAGATATATTCCAGGTAGATGTATAGATATTTGGAACCAAATAGCCCAGAAATAAACCCTTCATATATGGCCCAAAAATACCAAGTCCCCAGGGACAATCTCTTTAAAAATGATGTTGGGAAGACTGAGTATCCACATGCAGATGATTATAATGTACTCTTACCTCACACCATGTACAAAAATTAATGCACAAGGAATTAAAGACCTAAGAGAAAGGCCTAAAACTACAAAAGTCCTAGAAGAAATCACTGAGGAAAAGTATCAGGACACCAGATTCGGCAGTGATTTCTTGGATGTAACACTAAAAGCACAGGCAACAAAATAAAAAAAAATAGACAAATTGGACTACATCAAACTAAGAACTTATATGTACCAGAGGATGGATATACCAGAATTTTTAAAGAAATTCTAGAACTCAACAGTAAAAACAACCTAATTTTTCCATGGATAAAGGACTTAAAGAGGTATTTTTACAGAAAAGCTGCACAAATGGCCAGTAAGCACATGAAAACATATTCAACATCACTAATCCCAAGGTGTATGTAAATCAAAACCACAGGATGTCACCTGACTCTATCAGGATAACCACTCTCAAAGGACAAGGAAATAACAAGTGTTGTTGAAGGTATGAAGCTGGAGTCCTGTGCACTGTTGGTACAACCATTATGGAACACACTATAGAGATTACTCAAAGAATAAAAATAAAACTATCATATGATCCAGTAATTCCTCTTCTGGGTATATACAAGTGAGAGTCAACCTTTTAGAGACTGAGGGCCCAAACTGCAACCCAAACTCACTTATTTATCGAAGAGTGCCATCACTGCCCCATGTGTACTGTTATCTGGTGCTTGGCTGCTGGGCAATGCTGCAGTGACCTGGTTGTGTGCCAACAGAGAGGGCTCTGTGTGCCTGCTACAGCATGCATGCCATAGGTGCACCACCATTGGTATATACCCCAAAGAATTTAAAGCAGAATCATTGCACAGTCTTTGCAATAGCCAGGAAGTGGAAGCTTACCAAGTGTCTGTATATCAAACAAGAATGGATAAAGAAAATGTGGTATATGTATACAATGGAATATCATTCAGCCTTAAAAATGGAAATCTTTTTATATGCTATAGCAGTGGTAGTGAACCTATGGCATGCATGTTGCTGCTGACTGTTATCAGTGAAAGCTCTAAAAGGTTTTTGCTATCACTGTGTTATAGCATGGATAAACCTTGAGAACATATCTGAAATTAAATAAGCCAGTTGCAAAAGGATAAATATGATTCCACTGATAGGAAGTAACTAAAGTAGTTAAAAAATCATAGAAAGATGGTTACCAAGGCCCAGGAAATTAGTGTTTCCTGAGTATAGAGTTTCACTGTTGCAAGATGAATTTTCCATAGCTCTATTGTACAACAATGTGAATATTCTACTGGTCTCTACACTTAAAGTTGGTTAAGATGATAAATTTATTTTTATTTTATTTTGAGACAGGGTCTCGCTATGTAGCTCAGCCTGGCTTTGAACTCACTATGTATGAACTTGTGGTGATCCTCCTGCCTATGCATCACCATGCCTGGCCTAAGATGATATATATAATATATGTTTTACCACAATAAAAGGAAGAAAAAATGGTATTACTATAGAAAATATATTTTGAGCAAATTCATTTTTCCTATGACAGAGCAATAATTATACCCAGCAGCCAGTGAGCTTTTAATTTTCAAGATGTTCTACCAGGAGGCCTTCTTATGGGTTCTAACAGGTCAGCTTTGCCTTGTCAGCCCAGTGCCTAGCAGTGATGTATCCATGGAGGGACAGACACCTGATTAAAATTATTTCCCCAAAACATCCAATATATGAAAAACACATGAACACTCTCATTTTTATTCTTCATCTCCCTCTTGCCATTTCTTCAGCTTTGAACTTCAAATCAGAGATGTTTGACCTTCTCTTAACTGAAGAACCAGCCTTCCTTCTAAAGTCTATAGATCCCAGAGCCACTTGTTGAGATCTTTCTTACAGTACGACAGGCACCAGGATAAACATTTTGCACATACCATCTAAGATTGTCCTCTTAAAGATTCTGTGTCTTAGGTAGGTATTGCTCCCATGGCATAAATGAGAAAACTGAGGCCCAGAGGCCAACGTGTTTTTCTAGGATAGCAGTGCTGCTACATAATTTGTGTGACTCCAAAACCAACAGCCTTACCAGCTTCATTGTGCTGCCTGGAGTTTCTTGTCAAGTATAAGATGAGGAGGAGGAAACCACTGGTCCTCATTAACCAGGGATGAGCTCATCTATTTAATTTTCTAATAAAGCCTGCAGTCAGTAACAGCGCATTCCCCATCCTCTGCATTTCCTATTTCACAGGTCTGTAGTTTAATTTGGCCTTACAAAAGACCAGGCCTCCCTGCTGGTCCCTTCTGTTTCCTCCACTGATTATGCACGGGCCAGATGAGATGGCTGGCTGTGACGGCGCTCGAACTGGGCGCGGCCAGACCAGATGAGACAGCACCTCCACGTGTCCTGTGTCCCCTTTCTGCCTGGTGGTTCAGAACTGTAGCCATGTTCTGCTGGGTTCTCACTGCAAGAGGGCAGAACTTTGTTAAATCAGCGAACAGTCTAGTTCAGGAAGATGCAGTTTCCGGCTTGGGCTCTTTCTGGGTCTGTGGGGGGATAGGGTCTGCCTGACACAGTACCTGCCGAGAACACCTGATTCCTGTCTCATCTTTGTCACCTTTGCCCGGTCACTTCGCCTGTTGAGAGAGGCCTTTCCTCCTCAGCACAGTAAGATTGTCCTGGGTGATGTCTGGGTACCTTTTAAGCCTAATGTTCTACTGAAGGGACAAACAAACCAATCAATTGAATTTGGGTTTGTTGCAAAGAAATATTTGGAAGGGATTCTTGGTTTTGCCAAAAGCATCTTCATTTGTCTATTCAACATACAGCCCTTAGAGCAGGGGTCAGGAAGGCCGTTTCAGCAGAGGGGACAGCATCTGCGAGCAATGCGCAGGCAGGTGGCACAGCGCACAGCACAGGTGTAAGAGGAGGCAGGCGTGGGGCAGTGCCCACAGCCTTCAGTAAGGAGCTCTGTGTGGCTGCTCAGATGTGGAGGCTTCGTCACAGAGACCCTGCGTCCCTAACTCTGACAAAGAACAATAAGGAAACTCACTAAAATCGGGTGACCACCTTTCATCATCAGGGCTACCTAAGTGTAACACACAGTGTAAGGAAAAAAAGTGCTCTAACCTCTTTTCCTAATGGTCTTAGAAAGATTGTTGAGAAACTTAAGTCTTGCATGTGAAGGTACAATCCGTCAGAAACTCAAATATTCTTTCAGTTTCAGTTTTTTTTGTGGAAGTCAAATTAACTTTCATACTTTTATTTCAAACACCCTCACTTACGCTGGTCCGTCCCTCCATCCTTCCTTCTGTCTGCATAGAATTGCAGAGGAATGTGGGGGTGAGGTGCGGTCAATGGCTGTTTCTAGGGTAGGGGAGGTCAGAGTGATTTTCTTTGTCTCCTGTGTTGCTCAGTTTCTTATGATGAGCTGGGATATAATAAAGCCATTCTAAACATCAAGTGAATTTTAATGTAACACTATTTGCTGATTCTTGGTATTAAATGCTAAGTGAAATAAATCAGTCACAAAATATTGAATATTGAATGGTATCTCTAACATGAGAGGCCCCAAATGTAAACAATTTAAAGAGCAAAATAAAGAGCCAGGGAGGTCGTCCTGGTAGAGATGGGAAGGGAATGGGGGAAGAGGGGAAACATGACCAAGGGACTATATGTATCAAACCCCCAAGTCTAATGTAACCATTATGGCAAATAAGTACTAATAAACAATAAAATATAAATAAATAAAAATAAGTGAAAAGTGAGTTTAAAAAGATCAAACAGGGTGGCACTGTTTACGCCTGGCTCTGTCTGCAGCAGTAGCTCTTAGCAGTGGGATCCCCCTCCCCCAGTCCACCCCCCTTGTGCCACTCAACCCCTGAGGGGACTGGCAGGTTTCCCAGTCACCATCTCATGGCATGTTGCTTTCCAGCCTGGTGACCAGTGAATTCCGGAACGGGTCTGAACTGCAGTTGCCAGGCTTGACTGGCCCAGAGCTGTTTTGTGTACCACTTCCCTTCTGCCTATTTGTAATAAAAACTGCTGAGATGATGCTGGTTTGGTATGGTTCCTGCCATATTTTATTGCAGGGCCAACAGGAGGACTCCTGGATATAGGAGGATGTACAGCTACAATGAAATGTTTATAATTTTTAAAGAATTACTATAGTAAAAGATACATTGCCCTTAGTTCCTCCTCAAAATACCTCCCGCACACACTTCAAACACATTTATTCCCTCATTCTTTCCACTTTCAGAAGTAGTTCTGGAAGTCTTTTCCGAGTGTCTTTATGAGTTGTGATCAAAAATATGGTGAATGCTGCTGTCATGTGCTATCCAAGGAAAATGTAGGCCCTTTCTTAAGACATTACAGTGTGTGCTCATCAACTTTATTCATCAGCTCTGGCACTGTGCCTCTTCCCCAAAGTCAAAATGACTATGAAAGGAAAGCATTTTAAATCAGATCAGGACACAGAGGGAGTCATGACAAGGCAGCTAAAGACATGAAAGAATTCCAGAACTGTTCAGAAAGTGGCAAGCTTGATGGGGTAAGTGTGTTCAAAGCAAGTGGAGTATTCTGAGGAGGATTAATGAGAATGTGTCTTTTACTGTATGAATTTTTTTATTTAAACACGGACTGTATTTTTGAATCACACCTCATATCTGGACTCAGGTTTCACTGTATTTCTTTCCATTCTGAGGAAAGTATGAATGCTGGTGTATTATTTTTTCACATCGAATTTCTCAAGTTTGTTTTAGAAGGTCTTGCTTTATATTGAGTTAATAAATATCAGAACTCTGTTAGGAAGCCGAAATAAAGCTAGCTTTTCATTGCATGGTTTTTGGCAAGTACCTTCCCTTCTTCACGGAGGGAAACTCCGTTTACCTTTTTGAAGAGTCAGCAGAAACTCAGGTTCATAGTTCTGCCATGCAGAGGACCCACTTTTGCTCAAGGGAGGACAGGAGGCTGCTCTCAGCTAATGCAGCAGGGCTGAATGATGCAGGCTTCGCTTATGACTTAAGGAGTGAAAAATGTTCTTCCTGTGGAAGAGCTATGATTAACGTTCCTGGCTAACTCTTAAAGTAATTAACGATGTAATCTAGCATTCTTTTACCTAAAAGTACTTAATTCATTTTCCTTCAATAATTAAAATTGTCTGTAGAATAGGACCCTTGGCGATTATTTCACTGAGCTGTGGTGAGAAACAGAGGACATCAAATAAGATGATAATGTCAGGGTCCTAGTCCACTACTCACCACTGACACAAAGCATCTTCAACTCAGTGCTTTAGACCTGACACATACCTTGTATTGGCCATGAAATGAGGCACCTGGGAAATGACAGACAGTGGAGTGGTGGCCACTCCACTCAGCAAGTCTTTAGAGCCAACGGGATTTGAGCCCGCCTCTTCCCACATGACCAGCCCTCCACTTTCTTAGCTGTTTGGAGTGGTACATCTCATGAGAATATCACTTTATTATCATGAACTATTTGGAAGGAAAAACACAAAGTAAATATTTTCCTACTGATGGATCTGGAATCATCAGAAGTCTGCTCCGTGTTAAGAGTGATGCAACATCAGTCACATGTCTGTGACCAGGCGTGTGAACTGGGCCTCTCTGTGCTGTAGTTTCCTCCTCAGTCACTCACTGCGTTGTTAAGAGAATTAAGTGAGCTAAAGCATTCATGGAGATGGAGCCCAGAGCCTGGCACTTAGTATGCATGTGATGAGTGTTTCCCATTATTGCTTATTTTTGTATAGACGTTGCACATCTGCCTGCTGACCGAAAACATTAAAACAGCCACAGATAAAAGTGAGGAAGTGTCTGTCAGGTCCACGGCAGGTGATTTGGGTTGTATCACAAGACATCTCCTGAGGTAGGGTGCTGGGGAGCCAGAGTACTTGGGAAGAATTACACTTCCTAGTTCTTGCATTTTCTCCCCAGACAAGAGCTCATATCTTTGAGCCTCGTCCCTGGCCTATGGCTGCTGATAGGACCAGTGTTTCTCCATCTGTGGAAGTGTGGCCACACTGTATTTGTGATGACTCCAGGAAGCCACGTGGGCAGCGTGGAGGCACCTAGGGGGCTCCCCAAAGCTTGGGTGATATTATCACATATTGTAATATTATGATATATCCCTTTCATCATTGGTTCCTGGACCCTTGCTCCCATAGCCGTTGTTACTTCCAAAGTCACTAGAGTGGTGCTGGGGGGCTGTATGCCTGAGAAACAGCCTCGGGAAGCAACGTGTCTCTTCCTGTAGTCTTCTGCTTCCTTTCACCTGCTCCTTTTAATCTCCAAGGCAAATCATAGAAACGAGTCTTAAATTCTCTGACATAGTATGTCTAACATAGGAAATAAGACCCTGATTTCCGAAAGGGTCCTGCCCCACG